TTTATCTTGTAAGATTTTTTTTTCTTTATTACAATTTTCTAGTTCTTGTTTTAATTTATCATTTGTATTTTTCAAGGGTTCTTTTTCTTTATTACAGTTTTCTAACTGTTGGCTTAGTGTATTATTATCATTGTTTTTATCATTTATTTGTTTTTTTAATCTTTCATTTTCATCTTTAAGAGCTTTTAAACTGTTTAAAACTCCGCATTGTGGTGTTGACGACATTTACGATTTATGAGGAAGTGGTTTATTGAATATATTTAAATTCATATAAGTTTGTAAAACATTAAGATTTTTTGCTTCTAAAAGTAGGAAGTTGTTCTCCAAATTCTTTACATAATTCAACTAGTTCGTTCATTTTTTGGTCCAACGTAGCGTTTTTATTATACTTAGCATGTAAAGCGTTTAGGCATTTTTCTACTTGTTGTTTAATTTTTTTTAGTTTGGTTTCCAATGTTTCAGAATTATTTTTTTTTAATTTGTCATTTTCTTTTTTTAATTTACTAATTTCATCAGTCAAATAGTTAAAATCTCTTTGAATACGATTAACTTGTTCTGAACCACTTTTACTTGGTAGTTGAAGAGCTTTTTGTTCAGTGTTTTTAGACATTTGTTAATAATGTTTTAAAATTTTAATTATCTTTAAAATATAATCTAATTTAAAATTATTTTATATTAGAAATAATATTACATGCATTAACTATCAAACTCATTTTTTGATTTATGTTAATATTATTATCATATTTAATATTTAATAAAGATAAAGAATCATCAATATCTTGCTCGAGTTTTACTATGTTTGTTTGTTTGAATAATATCAAATATATTATTTTGTTAAAGTTTTGATAAAGATCATAAACATTATGCAATATTTCGTTTAGCTGCATGTTCCATACAGTAATTTTCAGATGCAAATCTAAAGAAAAGTTTAAGTTTAGATAAGTTACAAAAAGAAACAAGACAGAATATAAAACGAACCAATTAAAATTTTAATCATTTTTTTTTTGTTTATTGATATCTGCGAACAATTTAAATCATTAAACTTTAATTTATGATTAAATTAAACTAGTTCAAATTAAACTATAAATGGTTTTATTCAAATGCAAATTTTATAGGACCAATAAGAATAATTTTTTTTTTTTTTTTTTGTAATAAACTTCGTATTTTAGGATGATTATTAATAATTACTTCTAAAAAAATATCGATTTTCTATTTTTAGTTTCATTAATTTTTTAATTTACAATTTTATCGGAAGGCAATCTTATTTAAATCTTCTGTTACAATTTTTTATTTGTATGAGAAACTTCTTTTGTTATAACAACTAAACCATAAAAGAATTTCTTGGCAACTATTTTTTTATAAACAAATTAAACCATAAAAGGCAATCTCATACAAATTTTATTTTGAAAGTTCTTCTAATCTGAAAAAGGTAATCTAATACAGTTCTGATTTAATCAAAAAGCAATCTTATGCATCTCCTGGAGAAAGTTCTTTTAATTAATCTACAAAAGGCAATCTCATACAAATCTTTGAAATGTTTCACTCAATAAATTTTATTTTTAAAAAATTTTATTTTATTTAACCAAATTAAACCATGATTAAGATTACATAACTATTCTGATTTAATAATTGTTCGTTTTTCTATTTCATATATTTTAACATTATCAAGTTTATCATAATCTTTTTTGTTCAAGAACCAATGAATAAATTTTTTTTCTTTGTAATCTGAGGAATTCATGTTGTCTCAATTATTTTTTTTATGCAGATTTATTATATGGATTAAAGTAAGAAATCGATTATATTTTTGAGAAACTTCTTTTGTTCTAACAAACTAAACCATAAAAAGAATTTCTTGGCAACTGCGTATTTTTTTAATAAACAAATTAAACCATAAAAGGCAATCTCATACAATTCTTATTTCTGCTGCGACATTTTTTAATCAACCCACAAAAGGCAATCTCATACAAATCTTATCTGTTGCGATATTTTTTAATTAACCCACAAAAGGCAATCTCATACAATCTCATCTGCTGCGATCAAGTTTTTTTAATCAATCCACAAAAAGCAATGTTTATCTATGAGAAAGTTCTTTTAATCAAACCACAAAAGACAATCTACAATCTTATCTTTTTGAGAAAGTTTAATGTGGGTTATAAACTAGAAAGAAATTTAGCATGATTTATGCCCAATTTTCAAAAATATATTGTTCGAAAAGAAATAAAAGCGATCCAATTTTCTTCGTAGCGATGTTTAATCAATCAAATATTTTCATAAATAAATTTACAAGCAAATTTTTTTTTTTTTGTTTCAAAATGTTTCCAAAAATCTTTGTAATTTTTTTTTTCTGTGTAATTTTTGGTTTGTTTCTTACAAATCTCTTTGAAGGTGAATATCAGTTTGATATTTACCAGATTTTTAACAAAATTCTTTCATCAAAAACTTTTTTTTGGGTCTTTGTAGTTATATTAAATATAGTAACTACAATTGTGATTGTTTCTTTATATCAATTTTGGTTCTGAAATTCGTTAATAAGAACTTTCCCAGAACATTTTATATATTGAAAGTTTCTTCGAATTAAAGAAGAAACAAACATCTTCATATTTGATAAGAAAAACTTTCCGTCTTCTTCAACCGACAAGCCAACGCTGATACAATTAAATAAAATGAAGATTCACGAATTGAGAATTGTTCGAATATTATTTGAGAAGACATAAACATTTTCAAATTACTGGAGAAGATTTTATGTGACAAATTTCATAAAGTTTTTTTAAATTGAGAAAGAACCTTCTTCAAATGACAAGCCAATCGTCTAATATATAATGGCATATCTTAAAAAAATAAGAATTTGGTCACTTTTTAAAAGATTTCTAAGAAATTCACTGGAAAACAAATTGAACGAGAAAGAATATTTGTGATGAGAAACATCACACAAACAACTTTGAACAATTAGCTTCTTCTTTATTGAAGCTAACAAATTTGATACAATTTGTCTTTAAAATCGGTGACTCTGAAGAAACGTTGATAAATAATAATAGATTCAATAATCTATTATTAAGTAAATATTGGGTGATTTTTTAAACAATTAGAAATCAATTGGTTGTTTTAAATTTATTTTGTTGGAATTATGGTAATCTTAACTTTTATTGTTAAAATTGTTTCATTTATTTAAATTAGTTAATATTTACAGATTAAAAGATAAATTAATAAGCTAAAAATTTTCTGTTATATTCTTCAAGATCTGTCCAGCTCCACAAATATTTAATATTATATTTTTTAATATATTTATTAACTTCTAACAAATATTTATCAATTATTTTAACATTTCTTTTATTTACATCTTCTAACAGATCTAATGTATCATTGATATAATTAAAATAGAAGCCTTCTCTCTATCCATGAAATGTTGACCTTATATGATATTCAATCTATCCCAAAATATTGTTTAATCGTTTATGTTTAGTGTCATGGTAAATTTTTAATGATGGATTAATTAAATTATTTTCTATGAGATAGTTTCTGAATTCTTTGTATCTTATAAATATAATGTATTCAGTAGTTTTAATTTCTTCAATAAATTGTTTTTCAAATTTAACTTCTGATGAGAAGGGGCTTTGGGAAAAGTCTTCATCATTAGTTAAATTTGACAAATAATTGTCCCATTTGATATCTTCTTAAAAACAATCTTTCCAGTCATCAAATGTTTTTTTTTGTTTTTTGATAGTTTTTATTTTTTTAATAATGTTTTTAATAAAAGTCAAAGTTATTTTATAAGTTTGTAAATTTTGTTATATTGTTTAATAAAGTTAAAAAAAAAAAAAATGCGATACGAAAATCATCGTTTAAATAAACTAATTTTTAAATTAATATTTCCAAGTTTAGAAAAATTAAAAATAAAAAATCCAATATGATTAAATGTTTATTTTAGTTATCTGATGTAAAAGGACAAGAATCAAGTTTTACTAAAATTCTTTCATGATTCATTGAGAATCGTGATATAAATATTTCCATAATTCTTTTATTAAAAGGAATAATATCTTTTAAATTTTTTGGTCCAGTATTAAAATTTTCTACTATAAACAACTCTTCTTCTTCAATTAATTTTTGTTCAATAATATCTGAGACAGCATCTATTGTAAGTCCACAAATAGATGTAAGTGCCATATAATCGTTTGCTTCTATCATTTTTTTTTTTACTTTACGTATTTGTTCATACTTTTTTTCAAGTTTTTCTTTATTTATTTTTTGTAATAAATAAAAATTTTTTTATATAAAACAAGGTCTTATATAGAAATTTTATATAAACCAATTAATTTTAAAATAAACAAAAAAACTATAAAAGATACTATGATCAAAATATTTTTACATAATTTTTTAATGAAAATATTTTACGTAAATTTTAAATGAACCAATCATCAAAGTTAATGTTTTCATACTCCTTAAATTTCCAAATCTGAATTACGAAAATGGTAATTATTAAATTGTGAATTTTTAATTACTGATAAACTTTAAA